TGGCAGACGGGCTCCTTTTGTGGCCAGCCCTGATGGCAGTGCTCTCAGAGAAGTCTTGCTGCTTCAGTGTTGGTGCACAGGCACCCTGCAGAGAAGAGCCACCGAGCAGAGGTGCTTCAGCGTTCATGGCCAACACAATGGCTTTGGCAAGAGAGGTGCCTTGAGAAACCCTGGGCTCTCCACTGCAGGTTGTTGTCACCAGAGCTGTGCTCACCATAGTTGTGCTCATGCAGCCATCTGTGGGGCCTTCCTATGAAGAGGTAGGGGTTAGGAACAAAAGGTGTATTTTTATCTAGATAATTTCAGCCTGAGTTACAGCACGGTCTTACAGCTTGTGTCAGCACACAAGGGGTCCTGCTTTTTTGGGGGACAGGCTGTAAGCTGGGTGTTTCATGACAGTTCAGCATTTTTTAGGACTTCTGGTGTTTGTATTGAAATATGCTTGAGTAAACAATGTTAGAACTAAGGAGTGGATGTTACCTGATCGGTACAGTAGAGATGGATTCATTTTGCACTGGGTGTCACAAGTGTTAACAGAGATCTAGGCAGAGCAGATTTGCACTTCTGTGGAAGGACTGTCTAGAAACATGCTGAATTGTAGTGGTGAGGTACCCATCTTACAGTTCCCCCTAGCCCAGGACAGTCCTTTTAGGCTTTTTCATAACTTCAGTCAGCTAGAAATAGGAATTTCTGTGGGCCCCAGCTTGTGCTGGAGTGGTCAGTAAGGAAAACGGGGATGTCGCCATCAGTCCGCTATTTAGGAAATGTTTTATGACCATTACAACTTCAACTGTGTTTAATACCAAAGTATGCACATCTTAAGAGGGCTTTAGGGTAAGAGGATAGGAGTGGAGGAGGTATTGGGGTTCAGTTTTGGTTTTTTTTCAACTACTGAGCATGATTAAGCTTGGCATTTCCAAAGTTCAAATTTGGGTGGGCTTGGTTGCTAATGGTGTGATGATGCTGTTCATGCTTGTACCCTATTGCTTCAAACCTGTGTTTCTGACAGGTTAGGTAAAACATAAGACAGTTCTGTGAGTGTAGAGCCAGTGAAGAGACTGGAAGATTCTTCTGCTGTAGCCTGAAGTCTCCAGAGTCTGTAATGTCAGGCCAAAGAAGTTCTTGGCTGTTGAGGACCGTGTACTCTTAACCCTTTAGGTAAGACAGCCTGGAGGAGTACAGGACTCTACCTCCCTGAAGGTCACACAGCAGTTATAACGTTCCCTTGCCTGGTGGTCGGTGCTGGTCTGAAGGTAAGCAGTCTGTAGTTTGGCTTCTGTTTATGCCGATGTCTTTGTCAGGTGAGGACTGAAAAACAGCATGGAGAAGTTTTCTCGTCGTGGGTTTTGCTGCCCTCTCAGTTCTTTCCTGCTGCTGCCACCCTGTGGCGCTTTCCATGGATTGTCAGAATTTTTCACCTCGTTTCCCTACTCTTCTGTTGCATTCCTTCTTATTTTGGTGTGCTGGCAGGATAAATGAGTGTGTGTACTGCCTGAGTGTGTTTCTTTTGTTATCATGCAAAGAGAACTGATCAAGGTGATTTTCAACCCAAGGTAAGTACCTGGGCTCCTCTATGCACTAAATTTAGTTCTGGCTCTCCACATCTCTCATAAGGTGCTTTCACAGTGCTGTCACTGTTGCTCTTGTAGTTGTATCCAGATCAGGTATAAAGGAGTTACTTGGGATTCTGTTCTCTGCAGAGTATGAAGCAGATCAGTGCTTTGCTGCTTGGATAGTTTTTTGCCATGAGCTCCCTGCTGCTGAAATGCAAAGTTACTGCAGTGTTCCTGTCTGATCCTGCAGTGCCATGCTGTCTGGTTTGCTGTGTGAGAGCAGGAGGAGGCACAATGACAGAAGCCAGAAGCAGATCACGTCGCTCCAACTCCTTTTAACCAATGTGCCTGTGGTGCTGGTGAAGCATGGAGGAGACTGGTCAATGCAAATACAGTGCTGTGAAAGAACCCACTGCAGTACCTTGAGCTGCTGGTGAAGGGTGTGGTTGAGCCAGGAGTGATGGGGTTATAGCTGTAACACAGGGAGAGCACTGAACACCATTTTTTTCCACTGTGTTTACTGCTTCTGGTCACCACAGGCTGAAAACATGAACTCGGCTGGAGGCAGGAGGCTGGTTCTGCACGTGTGCCCTGTGGGGGTGGTGCAGCGTGTGGATTCGGGTGTCAGGCCACGCCTGGAGCCCTCTGACGGGCGTTCTCTGTTGGCAGGTGCAGGTTGGGTGTCACACAGATGACCTGTCTCACGCCAGGGAGCTGAAACGGGCCCCAGTGGTCACCCGGACCTGCGACATCGCGGGCCAGGAGCTCCCCGTCTCCTGCCTCTGGGGCGGCCTCATTTACATCCTGGTACCTGCCAGGAGCCAGCTGGGCAAAGTGCCCATCAGGGTGGAAGGGGCAGTCAGAGCTCCTTTCTTCAGGCTGGGTAGGTTTGTTCGCTTTGGTGCCTTTCTCCCTGGTGCTGCTCACAGGTGCTGCTGTCCCTGTGCCTGCAGGATGCTCCTGTTCTTCGGTGCGTCTCTGGAGCGCTGCCTTTAGCCATACCCAGATTTAGTCTGCTTGCTTTCTTCTCACTGTTAGTCACTCTCTGCCTGCCAAGTGGCAGGAGTGGGTGAATGAGCAGTCACGACATGGGCAGAGTTTGCTCAAACCAACATTTTTTGGAGGTTGGAGCTGTCGTTTCTGGTGGAAGCGGCTGTGTTGGAGGGAGAGGGCTGACCTCTGCCACGACAGCTTGCTTGTGCTCTGCCCTCTTTGCTGAGCCCACATATGGCCACTTCCAGTCCCTGCAGAAAATCTCTGCTGAATTTCCTCTGCTTCTCTTCTCTTCCTCTATGCAATTTCTTCTTGCTCTTCTGTCAAACTACACAAAGTTGGGATTGTTAAACGGAACAGTGGATCTCTGCTGGGGGAGAAGTGAGATCATCGGGAGACGCTGGAGAGACCTGATGCTTCTTCTTTTCTGATGGAAACCAGGGACCTGGTCTATAGTATATGCCACTCTTTTTCTGTCTGTTTCCAAACCATTCAAGAGCCTGAGGAGACTTCCCAAGCACAGGACGAGACTTACCTAGTTAACAGCCACCCCCCACAGCAGGGCAACTACCACATACTGTTTTCCAGGAGAACTTCAGGACTGTGGTCTTTTTCTTTGGCTTGACCTCTGGGAGCATGCTCAAAAGTCAGAGCTGTGCTTAACTGGTTTTCTGTGTTGTTGACCAAGGGGAGACCTGTGCAGGGGAGTGGAAGGCCTGTATCCGGCACTACCCGGCCCCCTGGGCAGAGCTGGCCCTGGAGAATCTCATCCTGACAGTGCCATCCGACAGCATCCGCCACGTGGAGGACCCACGGCCACTGCTGACCCTGTGGAGTGAGATCATGGTGGCAATCAGCCAGCTGGCAGCCATACCAACCAAATTCCCAAGGCCAGAGAGGATCGTCACGGATGTGCAGATCTCCTGTGGTGGGTACATGGCCCCACGGCCTTCCTGAGGGCTGAGACAGGTGCCCTCAACAGCAAAGTCTCTTGCTCAAGGTTGTTTTGCTCAAACTAGACTGGGAATGTGTAGAAGTTGTTAAGTGGCTGTGACCCCTGCATACCTGTGGGCTACCCCACAGGATGGAAACGTGGTAAGGCAGGGCTTAAAAAAACATAAAGACTCTTCCAGGTGCCTCCCTGCTCTCCAAACTGGTGCTGTCTCACTCAGATGCTCTCCTGCCTGGGTGTCCTAGGAGGCAGAGCTGCTGGCTGCAGTGGCTTTGGGTCGTGTGTGGTTACACATTCTCCCTCCTGACTGCACTGCAGCCAGCACAGCTGGGACACAGCAACCTGACTGCTGCCCTTTCCCTGCCTCGGCCACAAGACTGTTCTTACACATGCAGTGGCAACTGTTCCACCTGTGAGTGCCCACCTGCCAGAGACAGGCTCCACAGAGCTTATCGTGGGCAAAGCCAAGCCTGAAAAAAGTGGGTGCCTGAGGTGGTGGCAATGGAGAAGTAGAACCAGTATCACTGTCAGAGCTCATGAGTGTGAAGTTTTGCAGGTGGTGCTCCCCCACTCCAGCTTTCCAGAGTGCATTTGGTCTAGAGTCAGAATATATGGTAAATGTGGACTTTCTCAGTACAAGTGTTGTTCAGTTGTTTTTCAAATTAGACTGGTTAAATTCATCATTCCACAGTGAGACAAGGTCTTGATATGAACCCTGATGTCCTAACCCTTTGCTAAGCTACGTGGAAAAAATCTGGTGCACGTCTTGGGAGTGTTAAGTTCTGCTGTGCTGAGCAAATGCTGGTTAAAAAGATCATAGTTTTCAGTCATAAAATTCCCCTCTGTTTTGGATGGACTAAGTGCCTTCCTTCACCTTTCTGGACCTGAACTTCTTGGGTGCCAGTGACTGCTAAATGCATGCATGCCTCTTACTAAAGGAGGGGGAGCTCAAGATCTCCAACAGTTCCTGCAGGAAGGGGGTTGGCATTTACATCCTCCAGTGCAGGTAGTCTACAAGCCAGTACTCTGCCAAAGCCAGCTATGTGGGCTACCTGAATAGTGTAAAGGACTGCCTGGCCCCTGCTACAGCAGGTGTTAGAGCTGGGGGACTCCTGGATGATGTTTTGGGAATCCTCAAGAAGGACACATTAGGGCTGAAGACGCCAAGGAAACAAATAAAATCCCTGGCAGTGCGAGATCCTTGCTGAGCAAGATGCTGCAGAGGTGTTCACAGAAGGGCTGTGCTGGGGGGTTCAGGGCAGGCTGAAAGGCAGTGCAGGTTTTGTGTCTGAGGGCAGTGAGGTGAGCACTCAGGGCGTGTTGGTGCCTCTTTTCTGCAGGCTGGATGCACTCTGGCTACCCCATCATGGGCCACCTGGAGTCGGTGAAGGAGCTGGTGGACGTGGAGCACATGCAAACTACTGGTCTGTGGGGTCCTGTCCATGAGCTGGGGCACAACCAGCAGCAGCAAGCGTGGGAGTTTCCCCCTCACACCACAGAGGCCACCTGCAACCTCTGGTCTGTCTACGTTCACGAGAAGGTGCTGGGGATTCCCAGGCAGCAGGCCCACCAGGCACTCAGGCCACAGTGTCGGGAGGAAAGGATAAGAGGATATCTGAAGAAAGGGGCTCAGCTCAAGGACTGGCAGGTGTGGACTGCTCTGGAGACATACCTGCAGGTAACTGGGAAAAGCAGGTGTATCCTTGGTGCAGTCAGTGACGCCTGTGTCAGGAGGATGTCTGCAGCCTGCTGGCTGTAGCTGTCATGCCTTCTAAGAGTTTGCTTACAGTCTGGGTTCATCTTGGGTCCAGAAAGCTCCTGAGAGGTGTACAGACCGTGTCTAAAGCTGATGTCTCCTGGAAACCTTCCTTTGCCAGACCTGGGCTTGTCCACCAGGGGAGAGAGCTTAGTGCAATACACTAATCTTTCCCTGGGTGAGAAACAGGAACTGCTTCTGGTTATACAGCATGGGAAAAAGATGATCTAACTTGGGCACAGCTCTAACCTGCTGCAGATTTCCTGTGGGACATTGGGCTAGTTGATTAAAAAAAAGTTTGGCATTGTCAAGTGTCCAGAAGAGCCTGGCTTGTACAGTATCCTGCAGCTGCACGACTAGGTTGCTTTTTCTGAAACATAACAGAGAGCAGAGTATTTGTATCAGCCAACACACTGAGTGCAGCCAGGGTGGACCACCAAGTGGGAAGGGGACAGGTCCAGCACACCTCCTGCACAGGTCACTGCATCCCTCACTGCAGCTGAGACTCCAAAGGAATGAACCCTGCCCTAGATAAATGCTCATTGTCTTGGGAAGCATGCAGGAGAGACTTTTCCCTTCCCCCTTTCCCTTAATCCTCATAGCAATTAGGAGTCTGATAGAGAGCACTCAACCTGATTTTAACTGAGAGGTATGAGGTGAATGTCCATCCTGATGGCTGAAGCCCCTGAGTGCATCTGGGAGCTCTCACATCTTACTGAACAGCTGAATGTTTACTGGATTTTTTCACATCCCAGAGGAGTGCCTGAACTACCAAACTGAAGAGCCAGCATCTGTTTTCTGTGGTGCAGCAAATGTCAAAACAGCAATACAGAGTGGAACAGTTTTAGAAGAGGAGATTCCCCCTGCTGCCTTACCAGGGTAGCCACTGCCCCCCTGCCCCCCCTGCACCCCATAGGCTGGGATCTCCAGTCTCCTGCCTGGCTGCTGACAGCCCTGCTGGGATAAATGGGGCAGGAAAGAACAGTCACAATCCTGCCTGTGTGCTGTCCCTGTTACAGCCATGATGTGGTGGGGTTTTGCCTGTGGATTGGTCTCCATGTTCCTCTGAGCCCTACATTTGGCTTTCATTTAGATGCTTTTCACATTCCTTCAATCCAGGGAGTCTTCAGCCTTCTTCAGGCTGCTTTAGGTCCAGCTTCTGTCTGGTTCTTACTTGCATGGCAGCAGAGTGTCCTGTGGTCTTGGTGGAGCATCCCATCTCACAGGGTTCAGCTGGGTACCCATTCACCTCTCCAGAGTGGTCACTAAGGCCTGTAACACAGTCCTTGCAAAAAAAAGAGTACAAAAGCATTAGAAAATGGTTTGTACCAAAGTGGCCCAAGAGAACAGCATATTTGAATGACACAACAAGAGTCCTGTCTGTACTGTTCTGTCTCCACCTCCTCACTGCTTGCTTTGGAGTAAAGTTGGAGACCCTCAAGGTTCTGTCTGGACTAGGGAGAAGCAGCACTTGCAGCATGCTCCATGCACTGGCCTCTCCAGTTCCTCAGAACGTGCACATTCACCCCCACAAGAGCTTTCTTTTCTTCCCATAGAAAGCTGGTGGGGAGGGAGGGAACAGACAGTTTCCACTGCAGACGTGGGACAAGGAGCTGGGATGGATACCTGAATTCAGGGCCCAGGAGATGCTCTGCACTCTGCAGTTCAGACCTCACTTCACGTGGTGTGGAGCCTCCTCCAGTATAAGTTGTCTTACTGGTTTTGGCCTGGCACAGGATCAAACCTCTTAATCTCCCACCTTCCACTCAGCCCCCTCGTGGCTCTGCAGCCTCCTCACAGCCCCAGCCAGTCTCAGCACCAGGAGTTCCCGTGCCAGCAGGGGGCTGTCAGGGCTGCATGGCCTGGTTCTTCTGCCTGCTTCCCAAGGCCTGTCCTCTGCATACCTGTCCCACCATGATGGAGAGTTTCTGGAATGCCATTTAGTGTCAGCTGGTTTAGGATCAGACAGTGAGATACAGGTCATGGCTTGGTAAAGAGCTGTGGACATTGAGTAGATGTCTGTTGTTCCAGGTCAGCTCTTCTTAACCTCATCTTGAGCAACAATGCATGTTTCCCATCCCTCTTTGAGCTCATTGCTCCTGCAGCAGCAGTTTTTCTGCCCAAATCCCTTTTATTCTTACTCCTGGCCAAAGCATGACCTGCTCCAAGCTCTCCTCCCTGTTTTATGGTTGCTTCTTGTTCTCCTGTGCTCCTTCTTCCCAGGTTTTCTGTCACTTGCCCTCTTTGATTCTTTTTCACTGTGCTTCTTGCCTCTGCCTAAAGCAGCAGCCTGTACAGCAGCTTGCTGACATTCCTGGGTGCCCCAAATCCACCTTTCATTTCTGTTTGTTTTGGCAGACCAGTGCAATGGGAAAGTGAACTCTTCTGTACTCTAGTAGCCTAAGTTCTGCTCTGAAGCCTGAAAGTTGGATGCCTTCATCTAACTGCACGTTCTAAAAGACACAGCAGAAGCCTGTGGAATTGTCTATTGCTTGTAGCACAGGAGTAATGTCAGTGAAATGAGAACTTCACTGGTTTACACCATATTCTCTTCTTTCAGTTGCAGGAAGGGTTTGGCTGGGAGCCCTTCATCCAGCTCTTCTCTGACTACCAGAAGATGTCGAACATCCCAAAAGACAAGCCTTCTAAGATGAACTTGTGGGCACAGAAGTTTTCTCAGCAGGTGAATAAGAACTTGGCTCCATTTTTTACAGCCTGGGGTTGGCCTATCAAGAAGGAGCTGTCTGAGGAACTGTCTGTTCTACCCGCCTGGGAAGAGGACCCAATGAGATCCTATAGACCCTGAAGGAAAAAGATCAAACCCATGATTCTCACACTAGCAGTGGCCTGTCTTTTTCTCTTTGTGTGCTGCACGATAGCTCAACAAGTGCTTAGCTTTCCACTGAACCCTTCAACTTTTTGCTGTCCATGTGAAGTGCTGGGGTGAAATCCCCAGCCCTGAATGAGGGTGGGCACGTGGATGCTGCCCACAGCCAGGCAGGAAAGCCCCTCCTGGTTGGTTTTCACCCAGGGTCTGGCCAGCCTTGGGTGGGAGCTGATGAGGAGATCCCCACCAGGTGCCCCCACAGTAGCTTGGAGGGGGGGCAGGGAGGCAC